TGAGTCGAATTGACCATTTTTTGCCGATGGACTTGGCTAGAATGCGCAGGGGTGTGCCGTGCAACAAATAAACCGACCATCCATTGATTATATAGAATCGAACGGGTTTTTAATAGAGAACAGAGAGACAGGATGGGGTAGTTGGCGGTGATCCAAACGCATTAAGTCCGGACACGCCAACCAACGAAGTCTGGTTCTAAGTTAGATTAGCGGTGACGTCGTCTGTACCGGTGGCAGCTACTCACGCGTATATGGAAAAGTGTTACTCGCTAAATGGATCGGAAGTAGCCAAGTAGAGGAATCCATGGCCTTTGAACCCGCCCACGGATTCTATTTCAGACCAAAAAATAGGTTCGAAGTTTAATAAATCTAATAGTTGATCGGTTCTACCCTGAATCTAATATCTTTTCAAAGAAGGTTTGAATTTATTCTCAAACACTTTATGCAGCCCGAAATTTGACCCATGAATCGGCCCACAAAAACTGAGCCCTCAGCCCATGAGTTTGTTCGCCAGCATAGCCCAACTCGCCCACTTAGCCTGTTTGTCTTTTCACTCAATTATTGGAAATAAATTTATTATTAAAACTTTAAAAATTTAGTGGTAATATATGATTCTAATTTATTTAAATAAAGTTATTCATTATTTATTTTTTTTCAATTTTAACTCTACTGCTTTAATTCAAAAATGTAATTTAAAAAAATATTAAGTTAAAAATATTTTAAATGAAATTATATATATATAAAAGACTGTCCAACAAGGCCCATAAAGCCCACCTAGTTAATGATGGGTTGCGCAATAGGTGGCTTATTTCTACCGGAAGTCCCGTCTGGCCCACCCGATAACTTATATGAATAAGGGTTTCGATTTACGTCCAACCTGACTTGAAAAAAATATTGCAAGCTTAGCCCTACTTGCCCCATGGACACCCCTATATCCAAGGTATAGCTCAAGTTGCAATAAAGACAAACTTTAAATTTAGAGGTATTATGAGTTTGAATCTAAATAATTCTTTGAGATAAAGTCACAAAATAATTGATCTCTCATGAATATCTTTAATTTCGATATGAATGATATGTCTTTGATTAGATAAAAAAAAATTTAATCAAAATGTGTGTAATTTGGTTCGAATATCTTTTATCGTTGAATCTGAAAAAAAAAAAAAAAAAGGATCTGCAAGTGTTAAACTAGGGTAGATTAGAGAATTAAAAAATAAAAAATTAATCCTTGTGGTAACAAGTACGAGCTTAAACTCAAATATCTGGAGTTTGAATTTTAGCAATTATTTGAAGTCAGGTTATAAAAAATTTATTTCTCATGAATAACTTCCTTTCGCTATAGACGATGTGATTTTGACAAAATCAAAATAAAAGATTAATCGAAACGCGTATAAATTAATTCAAACAATTCTAACCAAACCACGTTATTTACAATCTTTCTGGGACATCGTACTAAGCTGTCTGAATTCACCCCTCCATCAAACAAAGAAAGCTTCTGATGCCCACACCCGGAAAAAGGGACAATCGACCCACCAAAATTAATTCCTTGGATTAACTACACACGAGTTTTGCTTAATAGACGATTATCAGGTCCCTTCAGATGGTATGGGCCCGACTCGTTAATTCCAGAACATAACCGTTAGTAGGCTGGACCCAGCCCACTTCTTGATGGCAACGAGTTTTATCACTGATCCATATCGGCCCTAGCCCACCTAGAAAGTCGGGCTATTGGGTTGAGCTACGGTCCGTGTTTTTATCCGAATTTCAAGTTTAGCATGAACAAGATCATTTATAAACCTTATAGAAGCAGATATTTACTTGTTGGTCTCCATAAATGATTTCTCCTGTGATCGGTGGATTCAATCTATTTACAGAGATTTCAAAAAAATATTTTTTTGTTGTTAGGTTTAATTGCCTTGTCTTAAAACTTCCTTTGATAATTACAATCGATAGATTTAAAACAAGTAAAATGACAATAAAAATATTAAAAAAAAAAAGACATTTTTATTAATATTGAAGATTCGCATATAATAGATTGATGAAACATTCTCTAAAACTAATTCCTAATTCTAAAGCTATCTTAAAACTACTCTTAAAATGTCCAAGTCATGAGTCTTTGATGAGTTTGATCGTGTCTCTTCTCTGTACCTAAATGGCTCTTTTATAAGGTGTTTTCATCGACGGTCATACTAACTTCTTCAAGGCAATTCTCCTTAGGCTCTTTCTTATTTTATTTATTGCTTTTTGAATTCCTAGAGCCCATTGATTATTAGTAACTATAGTCTTTTCAAATTTCAAGATAACCACTTCATTCCCTCCATAGTAAGGGTTATAATTGTTCTTAAATTTGAACAGACCACACCGATAACACTGTATATCCATTTTAAATTAAAAGAATGTTGCGTGACAATTCTCCTTGACTAACTTGTTCATTGAACAAGTATCGTGCATCGCAGTTCACCAAAAAATATAAAATTTAGTCCAAACTTTACTATTAACAATACAAGATAAATCTTTGTTGTGCCAAGTCGTATTTAGAATGACTCATTCGGTTAGCCTAGTGGACAGACCAGCGATCAACAGTATTGGACCAGGCCTAACCTAACTAGGCTGGACCTATAACCCTGATTTCAGCATGGACCATTGACGAAAGAATTTGGGCTGACCCAGTCAGTTGTGACCCTTAAAAAGTGTTATGAACAATATGCCAACACAATGAGCTGATTTAAGGTCGAAAGAAAGGATGCGTCGAGCTAATCATGTGAACTACTTTTTTGTTTTTTTAGGGGAAAATCATAGCAGTCGACCTAATAGTGTGAATAACTTTTTCTTTTCCACCATAGCACCTTTTGAAATCAAGAATGTAACACAAAACCCGAATACATATCAAATCATAGTAATTATAATGATACAAACCTCTACTGGCCATACCTAAGTTAGTGTCCAGGATTATGTGTGAATCCATTTTGGCCGACAAAGTAGCATCCTTTAGAGGGTGCTCTCCAGCTTAGGCCGCCAATTAGGGATGTCAGTAAGACCGAAGCGGGGGCGGGGAGTATAGTTTTTATCTCCGTACTCACTTAAAAAAATTCTGTCCATCCTTGGTCCACCTCCGTTAACGGGTATAATTTTCATCCCTATTTTCGTCCACGGATAAATTTTTAATCCCTGTCCCCGCTTTCCCATACCCGCTTAAGCTCAAGCCCAAGTAACATAATCCAAAATTCTAAATAAATATAATATTTTTAAATAATCCAACAACATTCTAAATAATCTAATGAATAATCTAGATTACAAAATGTAAAGGCCAAAACAATATAGTATTCTGTTTAAAATGTCATTGGACCACAAAAAGAGAAACGAAACTATTAGAGATAAATGAAGAAAAGAAAAATAAAATTGAACTAAGAAAACGATAACACTACACTTGAAGTTTCCTAAAAGAATTTTTATTATTACAATTCATATTACAGCCATAAAATGTTAAAAGATGAAAACTTAAAATTTCTCTAATTCAATAATTCTCTCAATTTCTTAGTTCACTCTAATAGAAAAACTCATCAATCTCCATTCACAATATTTCTATCCACAATGAAATGCAAAACTATCTTACTCTCTCTTATCTGTTTTTAGAGCATGGTTAATCCAAACTCCTAATAGTTTCAATCAGTGAATACAAATAGAAAAAAGAATAATCAGGAAAAAAAATTGATAAGATTATCACATAGCAATGTCACTTGTTAGTTTGATTACTATATTTCTATATTAGTAGTGATAGTAAATATATTTAGTTAAGGCATGCGAGTATATATATATAACGGGTAGCGGGGGCGGAGAAGGGAGGGGCGGGGGTAAGGGTAAGTTCATCCCCGCCTTCATCCTCGTACAGGTTTATACGGGTATTCTCGTATACGTCCACCATTCAATACGTATAATTCATCTCCGGTCCAAGCGGAACGAATTTGAACGAATACTCATTTTTTCCCGATCCACTGTCATCCCTACCGCTAACCTCTTTTTACTTGGCCGAAAACTCACCCCACACGTGGCTCTGTTGTGGCCCTCTAAAAAAAGGTGCACATGAATGCACCCTCGACACATGTTATCATGATGTGAGGAAGCACATAAAAAAATGAGATTAAATTACAGAACTATAATATGTTAATTATCATAATAATTTTATATTAGAGTTGTCAAAAGTTTTATTGATTTACGAAGACTATTGAATCAATTGGAAGAAAAGAGAAATCTCTTTACATTTATTCCGACAAAAATAAAATTAATGATTTAGTCTTAGACATATTTTAAATATTAAATAAATACCCCAAATCGTAGGATAGAATATAAAAGTACCTAAAAAATAGTCTAAACGTCATTTTAAATGAGGGGTAGAAATACTTTCAATCTTACTCGGCTCGTCAATAGTTTATCGAAATAAAATTTTAATAAATTTTTTAACACTGTCATCCAAAATTAGTTTTAATTGATGTCTGATCAATTTTACTTTGGATGGTCTTGATCCGTCGTGTAATCATGTGCTGAACATGCTGCATCACATCAGCCACGAACACCTAATCTCACCCTACTAAATGTGGGGCTGCAAATCCAATTTTCTCGTCCAAAGGCAAGAATCTCATATCCAAGCAAAGCCATAAAAAAGACAGATATTTCACTGTTCAAAAGTCTGTTGTCCTTGTTAACTAGAACTCATTCAATCCAATTCATCAACGGAAACATTTCAAAATGCAAAGTTCTGAATGAACCTATATCTGAGAGAGAGAGACTTAGAGGGAGAAAATTCCTTCATACAAAATGAACAACCCAATATTGAATGAAAATGGAGGCATCACTTGTACATATATTCCCAGGATGACCATGGAGGGCAAGGGTTAGAGCATAAGTAAAAATGTAACCCTTTCTTTTATTTTTTTCCTTGTTTTTGGTGGGGAGAAGGGGGGAGGCATATGCTTATGTCATCACATTCAGAAGGACCCATGCTGCTTTTAGGGAGTAGATACTTTCCAAAATTTGGCTGGAAGTCCAAGCAGAGGAATTGGGAATGGGCCATATTGAATTCCACTTTGAGATCCCACCACTTCCCACCTGCAACCATACCACCATCAACATGGAAACAAAACACCCTTGTCAATTTGATAGTTCCCCTTAGTTACTCTCCTAGCTGCAGCAATTCAAATTCCTTATGGCTATTTTTTATTCTGTGTCGTTTTTGGAAGAAAAAAAAAGGACCATCTAGTGCACGAATATCCGATGGTTTTTATGTTGAAAATGCGATTCAAAATTGGGTCCTAGGATTAAGCTAGTGGCATTAGTATTGTGTTTGTGTACCATTTAGAGTAGAGGGTAGCAGTTAGAATTCTGCCTATTGTGAAGTTTTGTGCTGTGTTTGTGGAAGAAATTGTATCAGATATTACCACCCTGATTGTTTCAATTTCAGGATCATACCTGAACTTAGTGACAAGGTGGTGGACCATAGTGAACATCTCCAGCTTCGCGAGCTCGTTCCCGGGGCAGGCATGTACTCCACTGCCAAAGGGCATGAAAGTATAGGGCTTTGGTTTAACCTACATACACCAGGATAAAATTTAGGATGCAGTTAAGCAAAACTTTTCAATTCCCCAATTTCAAAAAAAATAAAAGACTATCCATCTGAAGTCATACCTCAAATCTCGAAGGATCAAATTTCTGGGGATCAGCAAAGAAATCTGGATTATGATGAATATTTCTGAATAAAGGCATGACTTTCCATCCTTTTGGAATTAGGTACCCTGTGACAGTTTTGAAACATTGATTCTCTCAAAAATCCTAGTTATGGAAGAAAGATCAGGGGTTTGTCAGGGAAGACTAACATTTGGGCAAGCTGGTTTTCATTTACATTGGTGGATCGCCAACGATATACGATGGGTGATCAAGCATTAAGAGAAAATTGAGAAAAAAAATATTGGAGGCAATTCAAATCCGTTCTCACCTTTGTATTCTACATCAGCCACTGCCTCTCTAAATATGAAAGATATAATGCTTGCCATTCTCAAGCTCTCTTGTATAACCTGAGAAACTCCATTGTTAGTAATTCATCCAAAATACATACTTGCATGTAGGCGTGTGAACCGTGTTGGGTTAAGAGTGTTCATGTCGTGTCTAATTGGGTTTGTGTAAACAATCATTCAACTTGTATACGATTCGTTTAATTAGACGAGTGAAAATCTACATACAATCCATGATTCATTTATTAAATGGGTTATCGAAAATGACTCATTTAATCCGTTTAATAAACTTTTTTATTATGACAATAAAAAATAATCATTAAACTTTTTTTAACTTATCTAATTATGAAATTGCATATATTATTATGACTTAAATAAATAAATAATTATTATTTTATTAATTTTATTTAAATGGGTTTAGCGGGTTCACCCGCACCTATTAAAATCTCACTCAAACCCCTTAACTCCACGTCGATTCATGTCTACTAATCAGTGTCGTGTTGCATTTTGTCGCATTTTGACTGGTCTATTTGCAAGGCCATCAAGGAAATGCCCATAGGCTTTGGTAATAAACAACAACATACCCTGTAAGTGATTGGCATATTTCTTGTCTGATTCCAAGTCAATTGTTGATGCCCTTCTCTATTTGATTGGTAAATTGCCTTCTGTTCAGCCTGCAAATACATTATAACCATTCAATTGGTGATCACAAATGTCTCTCTCTCTCTCATTGAATTCAAGATCAAGACAAGAAATTTCTCCATGAAAATGAAATGGCATCTTCTATATCTTACCTTTACAGCCTCCAGAAGTTTCGAATCATCGTAGAGGTACCTGAGAATCCATGTCATGACACTGGCAGTGGTGTCCTGAGCAGCGAAAAGAACTCCGATTATGTTGTCTGAAATTTGATCTTCATTTAGGAATTCACCCTTATCGTCCTTTGAGTCCAAGAGACTATCCAAGAGGTCCTTCCCTATTGACCTGTATTCCTTCCTCTCACCTATAATCCCACTCAAAATCTTACTTAGCCTCTTCCTTGCCTTCATGATAATTCACCAAACCATAAAGAATAGAGAGTCAGTTCAATGGCACTGTAAAAAATACAAGTCAAACAAACTATACACACACACTCATAATTACCAATTGGGCCTTTTTGTATGGAGTTCCTGGTAAGTTTGTGGGAAAAGAATTGTATCCTCTCTCCACTATGCTGTAGTTTTTCTTCAGATCTTCTCTTTGATGAGGCTCCAAATGGCCAAGTATGGCGTGTATGCCAACTTCAAAAGAGAACTACAATGGCACAAGGAGACCAATAGCAAAAGTTAGAATTTTAAAAGGACCCATTTAGTAAAACAATGAAACAAAGACAAGTACTTAGGGTGATCAACCTATTTGGGAAAGCCAATGAAGGCAGCATGGTTGAAACGACTGAAACGTTTTGCTTTTGACAGAAACCAAAGACGGGAAATAAAAAATTCTATGTTTTGTAATGTTTCTATCAAGAAACCTCAAACAATATGCCAAAAGCCCCAGGACTCATTGATTGTGTTAGATCAAAACTCTTAAACTCGAGTTCCGTATCTCGAGACAAATAGCATAATGAAGGTAAAAAGGAGCCATTGCTTAAGGGAATCATTTAGTAAAAAGATGAAACAAAGACAAGTACTTAGGGTGATCAACCTCTTTTACAAAGCGAATGAAGGTGGTGTAACGGTTGAAACGGCTGAAACATTTTGCCTTTGATAGAAACCAAAGATGAGAAATAAAAAATTCTATGTTTTGGGATGTTTCTATCACGAACCTTGACCAATACGCCATACCTCGAGAGAGCCACACCTAGGTCCCATACTAGGCCCCAGCCAGGATCCTAACGGTTCCTGAATGTCTTGAATGTAAATGAAAACTATGCACTATAGTAGTATAGTAAAAATAAAAGAAAATTATTTATTATGAGAGAAACCAACCTTTTTCATCTCATGAAATGTGTTAATGACATGGCCCCCAGCCCAGGAGTCCAAGGCAGAGATGGCCATGGCTTCAATATCAGCCACTAGGTTACGAAGAGCCTCCGGTGACAATGAGGCCTGCACCAGCTTCCTCATGCGAATATGGTAGTCCCCTTGGTGGAAAAACAGTGCCGATGGGCCAATCAAGCTTTCTTTACTTTTCGGATACGTAGGCTTGAATAAGTGAGTTTGAGTGACTAAGACGAACCGAGCTGCCTCAGGACTTGTTAACATGACGCAAGGGCAACCAAGTACATGAGTCTTGAAAATTTCGCCATACCTGAAAAATCAGTTCCATTACGTTCATAATTGCGCACTAAATGAGGAAAGGAAAAAAAAATAGAATTAGTTTCCGTCGCTAAGGTTTTTCCCAGACGAGGTTACACGTATTCAAGTCATCGTTAAAAGTTCTTTGCGACCAAAAGTACACTTTTAGCTACGAATTTAGTGTGTGTTTTTGGAAAGTGCAATTAGAGGTTTATGAAATAAATGCAAGTGAAGAGACAAGTGACCTTCTCTGTTTGGAGGCAAAGAAGACAGTTGGGTCTTGAGAGTAAAGTTGAAGGGTCTCTCCTACAAGAGGCCACCCCATTGAACCCGGAGGGAGCTTAGCTCTTTTCTGTGGCTTTCTCTTGTTTCTTCTAAGGAAGATATAGGAGAGTAAAGTGTCTAGAATGACAAGAACATAGTAAAAGACTCCACTCTTCTCCATCTCTCTCTCTCAATCAAGAAGGTGATTAGATTGAGTTATGTTGTAGTAAATGAATATGAGACATAGAGAATGGAAGATGGTGGGGGTTTATATTGAGAGAAATTGGTGGAGAGAGAAAAGGACATGCTGACGGATGCTATCCCTCGTTTGTCGTAATATTCATAGTCATCCCAGAATTAATCCACTGTTAAGTTTTGTTTCTGGTGGTTTAGTAAACCCATTCAAATTTGTCCTAATCTTTCCAAATCAACTCAGATTTTCCATTTTTTTTCCCATGGGACAGACAAGAAGAAACTGAGAATTCCTTTTGTAGTCCCCATTTCACCTTTATCTTCTGTCAATACGTATATTTTCCAAAGATCTAGACTAGTGTGGTTTTCAAGTTATCTCCTTAAACAATTGAACAATTTTTTTTTAAAAAAAAATTCAATGTGCGAGGCTCCCGCGAGATAAATAATTGCCAAAAAAAATTATCGCCAGAAACCGGTTTTCCACTTCAAGTTTACATGTCCTTCCAATCCCACCCACAAAACCTCCAGAACAGAAACCCAAAACTGATGACAAAAATAAAAAGAAAACCCAATAAAAGTTATAGCACAAAATTTATTCCGTCGGTGTGCTATCAAATACAAGACTACATGTGGCCGAAAGGGGAAAATTTTTTCACTTGGTTTTTCTTTTTAATTATAGGGTGTTTAAGTTTATACCGATTAATCTCTTAAGTTTAACGGTTGGCCGCCAATACTTGGGCTAGATTAGAGCAGGACAAAAGTGAGAAAAAATTAAATTTAAAATCTTTAGAATACCAGACACCAGACTCAACTGTGGAACCATTCTAAAAATTTATTTTTCACTTGGTTTAACACACTACTATCATGTGGTGGATATTACCAATAAAAAATTGTACACGTCTGATGAATAGATGTCATTTATCACCATTGTCAGATTTTTTTGAAAAATCCAACTCTTTTATTAAATATTACTGAAAGCACTGACTTGGTCTGCCCTTTGAAATTTTTTTATTCTAACACGGCCTAGTTTGTTTAATGATATTTCATTTCTAGTACCTTTAAAAATTGGCGCCAGTGAATATCCAAATCCTGATTATGCTTTGTTCAATGGTCCAACATTTGAACAGTGATGAATCTAGGGAGACACAACATTTGACCATAATGTATAAAGTGATCCGTTTTATTTGAAAGAATTTCACCCAAAATTTCGTTCTATTTCATTGAAGACTCTATTAAAAAGATCATCGAAAGAAATCTTCTACCATCAAAGTCAACATAAGGATCGATATCTTTGTCAGTGAGATTGTGATCACAAAAAAATTAACCTCGACTAGCCAATTAAGGGCAAACATGATAGTTGAGATGAACGATTATATGAAGCAAGTTTTTAAGGAATAACCCACGTAACAACTTAACAAAGACTTATTTTCTTTTTTCTTTATTTTTTTATTTTCCCTCGGGTTTCAAAAGAGAGCAAATAAAAAACTTCTTGAAATGTTAATGTACTTTTCACATGATTATATATTTTCATTATCTATGGAGGAACACTGTGACAGAAGAGACAGAACAGACAATGTATTATTGATTCTACTAGAATTGTAGTGAACAATAATAATTGAAATCAAATGAGGGAAGTTACACTAAATTAATGTGCGTTGCAAAATCATTCATATCAAATCAATCAAATGATAGAGCTTATAAGGTTGGACATTTCTAGCACTTTGTAGTTGAAATGGCGATTTTTTAAAACTTTTATTTGGTTGTTAGGAGAATATGGCACCGGCCTCTTGATTGATTCATTGCCAAGAAAATGCTAGAGTTTTCGATTCATTTGACATTGCTTTAGTTTCGCAAACAAAAGTCAATGATTTTGTATCAAACTCTACTATTAAATAGAATTTCTGCTATTCCATTATATAATCGGTTCTTATCAAGTTGAAAAAATTCGATATTATTAGTCAAGTGCTAATGCCCTATCTCCCTTTCTTGCTCATTAGCTCTTTATTTTGATTGCAACTAGTGCGTCTCTTTTCTTTTCTTTGTCAAAGTTGAGTTTCTCGCTTATTAATCAAGCTTTCAAATTCCCACTTTATTTTGGGAAATTTGAAGAAGTGCGAATATGGACTAACTATATGAAGCTCTCAACACCTCCCTCTCCCACCCGGCAGAAGCATAGTATACAATTAAGTGCATCTATATGCACACATAGACATGACCTTGAGGCATCACCATACGTTAATTACTCCAAAAACTTAAGTTACTAGCTAAAGAAGGAACTTACGATGTATATCAAACTCTAAGAACAAGAGTCACCCACAAAATATGTAATATAAAACAAAATCTATCCAAGAATGGTCCAAGGATTAAATCCCAAGTTTTAGCAAACTCTTTAACAAGTTTTTACCATATAGATGTGTGAATATATTCGAGTTGGAATTGAAAAAAATGAATGTCAACAGGGGATGAATTTTTTTTTTTGGATCAACAATCAGGGATGTTTGGGTCAGTTTAAGTGCACTTATGCTTTTTTCTATCCATTCAAAGGTAAGTCATTCATGTCAGGATTAGGGTATTCATGAAAGATAAATCTCTTATAATCTAACTCTAAAAAATTATCAAAATTAGAACTTAAGACGTCTAAGTATACAATTCGTCTCTGTTTTTACTTGAACTATCCCTTGGAATTCAACAGGTGATGATCACACTCTATAGTAAAATTTTAGGAGATTTTTACTTTTTATTACATTTGCACCCCTAAAATGAACGGTTAGAAAACACCTACCATATTGTTTGCTTATTGTACACGTGCTGGATAATGGGTTGAGGGTCCATTTTAATTACATACAACATTTTTTGGTGTGTTTAAGAACAAATCGTTAGTTTAATAGTTTCAACATGATGAGAACAAATAACAAAACACAACAAAATACATAGTATTATGGTTTTGTTCGAAAACTAATTGTGCACACATATATACTTTTCAGAAACCCAATTTCTCGATTAAATCAAATTTACCGAAAAACTAGTAACCTATATTTAAGGTCGGCTTTTAGCCTTGCTCTAGATTTCATAAGCTAAACTTTTTTTGCAGAGATTCAAATAAATGCATTAAATGCATGAGTTATGGTAACCACGCCACATCCCTGCAAAGCAGGGGCATTTCAGAGTTTTCCGAATTTCAAGTCAAAATAATCCAAAGAGTTTTAATGTTTAATCCTGTTTGAATCAGAACATAAAACTATCTCCTCCACAACAAAGGAGCACAACATCTTGAAAGCATTCAAAGTGAGCCTACAAACGTTACGCACATGTGTCTACATGTACTTTAGAATGTGAAATCATGAAAAAAAAAAAAGTAAAGGAAATAGTTCACCATTAGAATATGATTTTCGTTGAATTAATAGTGAGCTTTAATATTAGATGAAATTCGCCGACAGTTTTAAAAAATTGTATAAGTAAAAGTTGTTCATCCCTAAATACAAATGCACAAAATAATCCATAAATAATAAGTTTTTCGCATTTTGCATTTTAAAAGATTTTAAGTTTTTTATTTTGTACCCTCAAAGATTAAATTTTTCACATTATACTCTGAATGTATAAAAAATATTGTAATGTAACCCTTCTATTAATTTTTATTATTTTTTCTGTCAAAAATCAACACACTAACACTGGCGAAAAATCTAACATAATGACTACATTGCAATACTTTTGATATACTGAAGGTACAATGTAAAAAATTTAATCTTTAAGAATATAAAATTTTAAATTTTAAATCTTTTACAGTGCAAATTGAAATTCGTCCTTAATAACATAATAAAATTTTGGCACACCATAAAAAGTTATACAAGCCAAAAGTAAATAAAGATTATTAGTCAAAAGTGATAAAGAAGACTATAAAAAAAAAAGTGATTAAGAATCTTGACAACTGGACAAAAAACAAGTTGGATAAGATACGGTCGGTACATGACATCATGAATCGTTGCACAATTGATGACTTTATTAAATATTTTTTAAAACAAAAATAATTCTGTTAAGAAAATAAAATCATATTTGACGATATCATATAAAAAATAAAACCCACATGAATTTTAGTATATAAATAATAAAATTATGTGCATATATTCATTACTATACATGCGTTTAAATTCAGAGAAAACGAAATAAGAAAAAAATTATAAAATGAGACCAACATTAAAATCTAGGTAATGTAAGGTGTAAGTTTGAGACTCTTAAATTTAATTGTTTATAATGTAAAATATTCATACTTATTATCACGATTTGGTAGTTGTTACTTTTTTTTTTTCTCCTGTTTGACAAATTTGCATAAGATTTTCACGCAAAGTTCACGTTCTTATGGAACGTTAGATTGAGGTTTCAAAGCCAGAAATTAGCAATAACAAACTTATTTTAATGTAAATTTTTTTGGAGTAAAAATTTTTGAAAAAAAATTGAGGTTTTTTTCATGTAAATTCAGACAGAAATTTAATGTGAATATTCCATGCTTTTGAAAAACATATAAAATCAAATCTTGGTAATTTTTTGGATTTATGTCATGAAAAATTTATCTTTCATGAATATTTCAGTTTCAGTGCGGAAGATCCGACTTTAACCAAATCAAAAAGAGAATTAGTGAAAATACGCGTAAATTGATTCGAATACTCATCTGTCGGTTAAAAAAATAAAAAAATAAAAATAGGCATAAAAAACCAAAAAGAAGGTTCCAAAAAAAATCTGGAGGAAGTTTGACCTTTGCTTTTTTAAAGGGGGTAAATAATTTCACCTTTTTTCGTAAATTTATCCGAATACTCATCTGTCCATTAAAAAAACAAAAAATAAAAAACAGGCATAAAAAAACAAAAAGAAGGTTCCAAAAAAAATCTGGAGGAAGTTTGACCTTCGCTTTTTTGAAGGGGTAAATAATTTCACCTTTCTCGTATTTTGAATGGCCGAAAAATGAGAATATGGTGGCGGGCCCACATGATTCTAATT